AAGCCAAAGCGGGGAGGTGTTATTCTTAGATGGGAAGACTCATCTTTTCTGCAGGGCTGTTGATCCTCGTCCTTCTTTGTGGCGTTCAGTTGCATCTTTGTGGAGTGGTGCATAAGAAGAGGGTGCTGAAGATGTATAATTATAATTTAATTATATTATTATTATTATTAATCAACTTATTTTATTCATACACCTATTCTACAGATATATACAAACACTTCTCCCAGCCGTTCTGCTGCTTCATAGCTAGCTGATACAGCTAGCTGCAGCTGAGGCTGAGGTCAGGATAGAGGGCTTTGCAGCAGTAGCAGCAGCAGCAGCAGCAGCAGCAACAGCAGCACGAGCAGCAGCAGGCGTCCGCAAGGCTTAAGCTCTTTTATTGAATGACTTGGGCCATAGATAAAATCTTTATTTATAATTATTATTTTTTTAAAGACTGCATTCCCTTCTTGCAAACAGAGAAGCGCCGAGCGGCATAGCTAGCTGTCTAGCTAGCTGTATAGCTAGCTGTCTAACTAGCTGTATAGCTAGCTGTATGGTTAGCTGCATATCTAGCTGTGTAACGAGCAGTAAATTGAAAGTAGATGCATGCTGGTGATGCTGCTGCGGCGACGGAAGTGCTGCAGCAGCGAACCCCGTTGCTTCTGCGTCGTATTGATGCAGCAGCAGCAGCAGCAGCAGCAGCAGCAGCAGCAGCAGCAGCAATTAAAAAGGAATACTAAGAAGGCGTGCTGTGCTGCTGCAGTTAATAGGCGAGGCTATCAGCTGTCTCTGCAGGTAGATGGCTTCCTCTGTTTATTTTTTGTGTTTCTGCTGTCACCTCTCGCATTGAAATGAACCCTAAACCCTTTCCTGCTCCTAAACACAGTCAAACCCTCAACCCTAAACCCTAAACCCTAAACAAAATTGCTACTTGATGCTTCGGGGGCAGAGCCCCCCGTCTGTTGCAGTGATGCTCTGTCTGTCTTTTTATATTAACAGCTTCTACACAGCTGCTGCTGCTGCTGCTGCTGTGGCTGCTGCTGCTGCTGGTGTTGCTGCTGCTGCTGCTGCTGCTGCTGCTGCTGCTGCAGCTGCTGTTGCTGTCGGCGCAGATCTTCTGCTGGGCGCAATACTGTTCAGCATTTGAAATTTAGCTAATTAAAATTCCATTTAAAATTAAATTATTTATCTAAAAATAAAAAAAATTAATGCAGGAAGAGCCGCTCGCATCACCGAGGTCAGGTGGGCCCCACAGCAGCAGCAGCAGCAGCAGCAGCAGCAGCAGCAGCGGTTGTATCAAGTTAAATGAAATGAAAAAACAGCCCTAAATATACATATTTATTTACTATTTTTGAGGATATTCATCTCTTTTTATTCAAACAAAATCAATCAAAGGTGCCTATACACCGCAGCAACAACCCGATCTCGCTGTCGGTGGTGGGGTTGCAATAAACACCCTCATTTTGTACAGCTTAATTTCGCCGATTTCTTTGTTTTTTCGTTGTTTATTCTCCTTTCATTCGCTCATTTTGCTGCATTTCCTGTGCTCCATCTCCTATAGGACGCCAGCATGCACACCCTAGACCCTAAACCCTAAACCCTAAACCCTAAACCCTAGAAAGAAACACAGGCAACATGCACATCAAGTCGATAACCCTTCAAGGCTTCAAGACGTACAATGAGGCGACTACCATCACCTTTTCAGAAGGCTGTACCTGTCTAAGTGCGGCTCCTAAACCCTAAACCCTAAACCCTGCATCTCATTCAACTGTAATGATGCCTCTCCGCTCTCCTGAAGATGACCCTGACGCTGACCCACTAAAGGACTAGAGTTATTTCGTATGGCTTGCCTCTGGCTGAGGGTTTAGGGTTTAGGGCTTAGCGCTTAGGGAATAGGGTTTGCGGGTTAGGGTTTAGGGTTTAGGGTTTAGGGTTTAGGGTTTGGATGTGCAGTTGGCCACAATGGCAGCGGAAAGTCAAATATTCTCCTTGGCTTCTCCTTCGCCCTGGGGGAGATCGGAAACTCCGCAGCAGAGCGGCGCCTACTGCTGCACGTCAGTATCTAGGGTTTAGGGTTTAGGGTTTAGGGTTTAGGGTTTGGGGTTGGGGGTTTTCAGAAGAAAGCAGAGCCCCTCCGTCTTTCAGTGGCGTGTTTGCATTCAGCTATACTTTTGGTGTTCAGCATAAGAGTTCGGGTTTAGGGTTTAGGGTTTAGGGTTTAGGGTTTAGGGTTTAGGGTTTAGGGTTTGGGGTTTCTGATCAGGAAGGAGTGCACGGGCGGGTGACGAGCGGCTTTGTAGAGTTAATTTTAGACAACTCCAGCAGACGGCTTTGCATGGTGAGAAGACAGCAGCAGCAGCAGCAGCAACAGCTGCAGCAGCAACAGCAGCAGCGGCAGCAACTGCAGCAGCAACGGCAACAGAAGCAGCAGCAACAAAAGTAGCAGCAGCAGAATCAGCAAATGAGCAGCAACAGCAATAACTCCAAACATCGACAAGCGGAAGTCGCCGCCTCCTTGAATTAGGGTTTAGGGTTTAGGGTTTAGGGTTTAGGGTTTGCGTTTCAGTATGACGCGGATTCGGTTGTCATTCGCCGTTCGTTTTCCTCCGAGACCGACGAAATAACTGTTCAAGGAAATATTGTGGGGTAAAAATTAGGGTTTAGGGTTTAGGGTTTAGGGTGTATTATCTTTTTTGTTTCTTCTTTGTTTTTATTTCGCTTTAAGGCTTGTGTTCGTTTTGCTTGTATGCATTTATTTGTCTTTACTTGTTTAGGGTTTTTAGGGGGTTTAGGGTTTAGGGTTTAGGGTTTAGGGTTTAGTTTGTTACTGTTAGTTTGTGTTTGCCTTTATATTCATATTTGCGTTTATTTTTTATTTTCTTTTGTTTACACCGCGCATTTATTTCTTTATCAGCTTTCTAAACCCTAAACCCTAAACCCTAAACCCTAGGTCTGCGGTTTGTGTGCTGCAGCAAAACGCAGTTTGAACAAATCGTCGAGTGCGCGGGCCTCTCAAGGTTAGCAGTATTTGCTGCTGCTGCTGCTGTTGCTGCTGCTGCTGCTGCTCGTACTGCTGCTGGAGGATTTCTGCTGCAGCTGCTGCTGTTGCTGCGGCTGTAGGTTTTGCGGCTGCTCCTGCAGTTGCTGCTGCTGCTGCTGCTGCTGATAGCGATGGTGTTGCTGTTGGTGTTGCTGCTGCTGCTGGTGTTTGCATGCGTTGCTGCTGCTGTTTCTCTATGCTGTGAATGTGTCTCCTTGCAGCCGCAGCCGCAACAGCAGCAGCAGCAGCAGCAGCAGCAGCAGGAGCAGCAAGAGCTCCTTTATAATACACCAAGGACGCATTCAGGAGGTCGCAGTTTTGTCTGCTGCTGGGCGTTTGTCGTTACTCTCCGCTGGCTGCTGCAGCTTCATCGAAGAAAAGACAAAAGAAACAGATTTGCTGCTGCAAAAAGCCTGTCAGATCTCCTGCTGCTGATGCTGCTGCTGCTGCTGCTGATGCTGCTTCTGATGCTGCTGCTGATGCTGCTGATGCTGCTTCTGATGCTGCTGCTGATGCTGCTTCTGATGGTGCAGCTGCTGCTGCTGGTTTTGCTGCCGTTGCTGCCCTGGGCGTCACTGCACGTGCTGCTGCTGTTTGCTGCTGCTGCTGCTGCTGCTTTTGATGTCGCTCGTGCGCTGGGTGTTGCCGCTGGTGCTGTGGATTGCTGCTGCTGCTGCTAGTGTTTGCTACTGCTGCTGCTTGCTGGTACTTATCTTGCTGTTGTTGCTGCTGCTGGCTGTGGGGTTGTCTCTGCTGCGGCTGTTGTTGTTGCTGCTGCTGCTGCTGCACTTGGCGGTCTATCAACTGTAGCAGCAAAACATCGACAGCAGAGGCAGCAGAAGCAGCAGCAGCAGCAACAGCAGCAGCAAGCTGTGTTGTTGTTGCTGCAGCGACTGAACAAACTAGCGTTAGGAAAACCCTGTGCGACCTCGAGAAGCAACTGGAAGACATGGGCGTAAACCCTAAACCCTAAACCCTAAACCCTAAAGCCTCCTGTAGATATTTAAATATCTCATGAAGTATATATATTTATATATATTTATTTATGTATTTATTTATTTATTTACTTATTTATTTATCCTGTATGAATGCTAGTTGTACAATATATAATTTAATATATAATATATAAACAATATAATAAAAAATATATAAACAAATATATATATAATAAATGTATATATATTTTTCTTGTTTTAATTACAACATGTAGATATTTTAACTAACTTATATTTATAAACAATATATATATAATTATATAATTATATATATATTAATTTAATTAATTAAATATATTTATCTTTGCTTATTCAGAGAGACAGCCAAGAGCTGAGGGTTTGTCTGCGTTTAGAGCGTGAAAAAGCAACGATAGAAAAAAATTTGTTAGGTAATAAAAGAAAGAGATAAGTTTAATAAAATAATTAATAATTAATAAATTATAAATAAATAAATAAACATATTGATAAACAAATAATAAATAAATTAATTAATAAATAATAAACAAATAAACAAGCAAAAAGATAAAATAATAATAAACAAATAAATAAATAAATAAATAAATAATGAAGAGACGAATTAATTTAAGATTTTATAAATTAATATTTTTGTTTTTTTGTTTGCTGCAGAGAAAGATTGGGTAGAGGCAGCGGAGACACTCAAACAGGCTAAGGAGAGACAAGAAGTATGCTGCTGCTGCTGCTGCTGCTGCTGCTGCTGCTGTTGGTGCTGCTGTTACTGTTGCTTCTACAGCTCCTATCTCTGCTGCTGCTGCGGTGGCGTCTGCTGCTTCTGATTTTTGCTGTTGCTGTTGTTGCTGCTGCTGCTGCTGCTGCTGACGTTTGCTGTGCTGTTGCTGCTGATGCTGATGCTGCTGCTGCTGCTTCTGCTGCTGTGGGGTGCAGCAACACCGAGCAGCAATTCGCCGCCTTGCTGCAGATGCAGCGGCTGCAGAGGCCAACCGCGATGAAGCAGCAGCTCAGCTCGCCAATCGTAAACCCTAAACCCTAAACCCTAAACCCTAATTCGCAAAACTTTCCTTGTAGACAATTCCGGAGCCACCCTTCTATGCTCGCCCCTTGCGCAGCAGCAACAGCAGCAGCAGCAACATCAGCAGCAACAGCAGCAGCAGCAGCAACAACAGCGGCAGCAGCAGCAACAGCAGCAGCAGCAACAACAGCAGCAGCAACAGCAGCAGCAACGCCATGGGTCTCGGTTTGTGTTGCTGCAGTTTCGCTTGAGCATTCATCTCAACTTGAAAGAAAAAAGCAAATGGAGAGCCTGACTAATGAGGTCTGCTGCTGCTGCTGTTGCTGCTGCTGTTGCTGCTGCTGCTGTTGCTACTGCTGCTGTTGTTGGTGATGATGCTGCTGTTCTTGCGGCTGCTTCTTCTGTTTTCATTTGTGCTGCCGTTGCTGTTTTATCCTTGCTGCATGTGCTGCTGGTGTTGCTGTTGCTAATGTTGCTGCTGTTGCTGCTGCTGCTGCTGCTGCTGCTGCAGCTGCAATGCGAAGAAAGTCGTCTGCGGCTGGAGTCAAATTTGCTGGCGGGTGAAGCGGAGGCGCAGCAGCAAAAGAGAGAGACGATGAAGGAGTTGCTGCTAGAGAAGAAAAAAGAAATGCAGCATATTCGTAAACCCTAAACCCTAAACCCTAAACCCTAAACCCTTATTTAAGCGCAAAACCCTAACTCCTCTCAACAAGCACTCCTTCGGCCCCTATGCCATCGACTTCATAATGTCCAGGGTTTGCTGTCGGGGAAAGAGGGTTTAGGGTTTAGGGTTTAGGGTTTAGGGTTTAGGGTTTGGGGTTTGCAGAGGAGGAGCTGGAGAAGAAGCTGCGACCGCAGCACGTTGCTGCTGCTGCTGCGTATTCAGCTGCTCAGCAGCAGCACACACAGGTATTTTCTTTTAAATATAATAAAACAAATTATATTTTATTGATTATGTTGTTCTATATTGTTTATAATATAATATATCTCTGCACCGCAATATATATATAATCTATAATATACAGTATATATATTTGTATAGAGGTCAATAGTGTATATACATATAGATAAAAATATATATACATACATATATATAAATATATATATATATAACGCATTTTATATCAATATATAGATGTATATATAGACATGTATATTAAGTTTATATATATATGTATATATATATATGTATATATATATATATATATCTGTATATATGTATATATATATATATTACTAGATACGGTATGATGCAAACCAGTAAAGAGGAGATTATAGAGCGGCCAAATTTTTAAATAAAATAAACAAATCGTTTAATTGACTGTGCAAAGGGTTTAGGGTTTAGGGTTTAGGGTTTAGGGTTTTGTTTGTTGTTGTTTGTGCGCGTTCTACTTTTCCTTTACTTATTTATTTATTTATTTATTTATTTGTTTGTTCGTTTGTTTATTTATTTGTTTATTTGTTGTTTATTTTGGGTTTAGGGCTCATTTGGTTTGCTGCTGCTGCTGCTTGCGTCTGTGTGCTGCAGCTGCAGCAGCAGCTGCAGCAGCTGCAGCAGCGTCATTCCTTTTCAGGTGTATCCGCAGCAGCACGGCAAGCAGCAATAAGAGAGCGACTGAGAGACATCGAGCAGCAGCAAAAAACAGAAGCAGCTCATGACAAACAAAACAAAAGAAAGGTATCAAGCAGCAGCAGCAGCAGCAACAGCAGCAGCAGCAACACACCAGCACTAGAAGCAACGCCGCAGCAACACTGCAACAGCAGCAGCACCAACAACACAGCAGCTGCAGCAGCAATACAACAGCATTAGCAGCAACACAGCAGCTGCAGCAGCAGAACACCAACAGCAGCAGCAGTTGCTGCTGCACCTGCTGCTGCTGTTAATAACAGCCTCGGGTAGAAACTTCCTCTTATCCTGAGCGGCAAAGAGGGTTTAGGGTTTAGGGTTTAGGGTTTAGGGTGTTTATTCTACGGCTGCAGATTCAGGAGTTGACGGCGGAGGCGAAGGAAGCAGAAAAGAAAGTTGCTGCAGCAGCAGCAGCAGCAGCAGCAGCAAAAGCAACAATGGATGAAGCAACGAGAGACATCGCCAAGCTCAAGGCGGTCAGAAACCCTAAACCCTAAACCCTAGGGCATACACCTGAAATAGTCTTCATTCATCGATTGGCAATGCACAGCGTGCAAGGGTTTAGGGTTTAGGGTTTAGGGTTTAGGGTTTGGGTCTATGGTTTAGGGTTTAGGGCTTGGAGTTTTACCGTTCGGGGCAAGGGTTTAGGGTTTAGGGTTTAGGGTTTGTGCTGCAGCCGCTAGAAGAGGTGGTAGAGCAGCTGCGGCAGCAGCAGGCGGTGCTTTCGGGTTTGCTGCAGCAGCGCAATGCTGCAGAAGCAGAAGTCCGGGCAGCCACAGGTCAGCAGCAGCAGCAGCAGCAGCAGCAGCAGCAGGATTTTGCAGCAGCATCAGCAGCATAAGCAGGATAAGCAGCAGCAGCAGCACGTTGATGTGGTTGTGTGTGCATGCGTTTGCTGCTGCTGCTGCTGCTGCTGCTGCAGATATATTTTCTCGTTGTTTGTCTCCTTCTCGCTACTGGTGTTTAAATCTGCTGCGACAGATTGCTGCAGCAGAGGGCTGGGCAGCAGCAAACGGCATTGCGGCTCCTCTAGCAGACTTTATTGAGGTGAAGCAAACTCTTTAACTTACTCCTAATAACAAACACAAATGCAGCAGCAGCAGCAGCAGCAACACCAACTGCAGCAGCTGCAGCAGCAGCAGCAGCAGCCAGATGCGGCCTTCTGTCGTTTGCTGCCGTGAAATAGGGTTTGATGGAGTTTATGAGGGTTTATGAGGGTTTATGAGGGTTTATTAGGGTTTATTAGGGTTTATGAGGGTTTATGAAGGTTTGTGAGGGTTTATGAGGGTTTATGAGGATTCGTTATGGTTTATGAGGGTTTATTAGGGTTTATTAGGGTTTAGGGTTTAGGGTTTGTTAGGGTTTATGCTTAGGTAGAGCCGGAGTATTACAGCGCCGTGGAGGCTGTAGGGGGTTTCGCATTATTTCAGTTTGTTGTAGAAGACGCAGCAAAAGCTTTAGAAGCAGTGGCTAGGCTTAAGCAGCAGCAGCAGCAGCAGCAGCAGAAGCAGCAGCAGCAGAGTGGGTTGCTGCTGCAGCGCAGGTGCTGCGTCTCTATCGTCCCTCTGAAAGAAGTGGTGCAGCAGCAGCAGCAGCAGCAGCGGCACCGCAGTCTGTGGCAGCAGCAAATGCAGCAGAAGGCGCAGCAGCTGCTCGATGAAGGCGTCGCTATGCCTCTCACAGAGGTTAGTTATATATTGCTGCTGCTGCTGCTGCTGCTGCAGCAGCAGCAGCTACTGCTGCTGCTCCTGCTGCTGAAGGAGTTTTTGTCTCTGCTATTGCTGCTGAGACATTTTATTTTTTGCTGCTGCTCGTGCTGCTTTTGCTGCTGCTGCTGTTGCTGCTCCTGCAGGCGTTTCATTGTTGTTTTTGCTGCTGTTGCTGCTGCTGCTGCTGCTGCTGCTGCTCCCATTCTTGCTGCTGTTAGTGCTGCTGTTGCTGCTGCTGGACTGCGTTTCTATTTCAGTGGTATTTGTAAATTAATTGAAGTTATTAAATTATTTTTTTGTTTGTTTTTTTGTTTTGTTTGTGCTGCAGTGTATACGCGTGCTGCCTGAAGCAGCAGGCATTCATACAGCAGCAATTGAGGTGTATATTCAGAGTATATTTCGTTTAACTCTTTTGGTTCCATCTCTTGACTCCCCTCAAGTGCAGCAATTAAATGCAAGCGGTAAATAACAATAACAATAACTGCTGCTGCTGCTGCTGTTGCTGCTGCTGCTGGTGGTCTTGCTGCTGCTGTTGCTGGTGGTCTTGCTGCTGCTGTCGCTGCTGGTCTTGCTGCTGCTGCTGGTGGTCTTGCTGCTGCTAGTCTTGCTGCTGCCGCTTCTGCTCCGAGTCTTGCTGCTGTTGCTGCTGCTGCTGCTGCTGCTGCTGTGGCTGCAAGAAACGGAGGCATGGGTTTGAATAGAAAGAGACATACAGATATTAACAGACAATAAATATATATATATATATATAGATACATATATATAGAGAGAGAGATATATATATCTCTATATATACATATATAGATGCACATATATATATATATATATATATATGTATATGTATATTCATATATATATATATATTCATTTATATATATATATATATATATATATATTTGTACATATATATATCTATAGCTATATGTATATCTGCCTATGCATACATATATATATATATATAGCTATATATATATATAGCTATATATATATAGCTATATATATATATATATAGCTATATATATATTTATATATATTTGTTTTTTATTCTTTCTTCCTGTGTTTTATTAAATTCAATTCTTCAACTGGTTTTAAACGATTTATTTATTTATTTATTTATTTATTATTTATTAATTGTTTATTTATTTATTTATTTATTTAACAGGCTATAACTGCGTGGATCTGTCGGGGTCTGTCTGCTTTTCGTCTGGGGCAATGCGAGGAGGAGGCCTCAGCAAAGGAAACACAGACAAACTCTCAGCTTTCTTTTCGTATAAACCCTAAACCCTAAACCCTAAACCCTAAATCTAGACCATAAACCCTAAACCCTAATTCTAGACCATAGACCCTAAACCCTAATTCTAAACCCTAAGCCCTAATTCTAGGCCATAAACCCTAAACCCTAATTCTAATCCCTAATTCTAAACCCTAAACCATAATTTTAGACCCTAAACCCTAATTCTAAACCCTAAACCCTAATTCTAAACCCTAAACCATAAGATGGATCGTATCTCAAAACCCTAAACCCTAAACGGGATCTTTAGTCTAAACTCTAAACCCTAGATGAGGTCCTACCTCTAAACCCTAAACCCTAGAGTGAATCAACGCTTTAAACCCTAATCTATCTCTAAACCCTAGATGCGCTGCAGCAGAAGCAGCAGCAGCAGCAGCGAGTTTTAATGTTGCTGCAGCATGTGCTGTTTTTATTTGTTCTTTATTGTTGAGCTCAGCCCCCTTTAAATAAGTTATTTTTATTCTCATTTTTTTGCTTTGTTTGTCTCGCAGTCTACGAAATGCACAGAAGAAAGAAGAGCAATTAACTGCTGCTCACCAGCAGCAGCAGCAAACGCTAACGACGCTTCAGCAGGTACTCCTGCTGCTGCTGTTGTTTTTGTCGTTATTGCTGCTGTTGTTGCTGCTTCTCCGTGGGGTCCGCCAGACGCACGCCCTGCTGCAGCAGCAGCGACTGCAGCGGCAACAGCAGCACGAACAGCAGCAGCAAGAGAAGCATGCATGATGCGTTTGTGTTGAGTGCAGCAACACAGAGAGCTGCTGCTGCAGGAGCAGCAGCTAATAGAGAAGCGCCTCGATTCTCATCATAAAGCACAGGCAGCCTTGGAGCAGCAGCAGCAGCACAAGCTGTCAGCCTATACTCACGCAAACGGCTTGCTGCTGCTGCTGCTGCTGCAACACTTGCTGCTGCTGCTGCTGCAGCACGTGCTGCTGCTGTTGCAAAACTTGCTGCTGCGACGCTTGCTGCTTCTGCTGCTACACTTCGTGTTGTCTTTCTCTCCGGCTGCTCAGTTGAATGGAAGCTGCTGCTGCTGCTGCTGCTGCTGCTGCTGCTGCTGTACGTACACCTCAGGGCCCTGCGGGCGGCCTCATCTCTGGCTGCTACAATAAAAGAAGAAGAGGAGGCGACAGCAGCGCGAATTGCAGCACGCAAACAACTCGCGCAGTCGTAAACCCTAAGCCCTAAACCACCAAACCCTAAACCCTAAACCACTCAGTTCTAGGATATTTGTAAACCCTAAGACAAGGCGAGGGAAGAAAGTCTGCAGCCATCAGACACAGGTCTCGGCAGCAGCATCAACGGTTTAGGGTTTAGGGTTTAGGGTTTAGAGTTTAGGGTTTAGGGCTTAGGGTTAAGGGTTTAGGGTTTAGGGTTTAGGGTTTAGGCTTTCCTTCAGGCTGCGGCATGAAGCCCTTCAAGCGGAACAGGCACCCTTGACAGCAACAGAGCAGGAGCTGCTGCAGCAGCTGCCGCA